AAAACAAGAGAGTTGGAAAAGATGAGATTTAGAAGAAAAGAAGCATGAGATATCAGTGTTAAAAGAAAGAAAAAAGGAGTTAGAATAGAATATATATATATATATATATTATATATATATATTATATATATTATATGTATATATATATATATATATAATAGTATATAGTATATATCAAAATTGCACTAGTATATTATGTCAGAAATATGAAGAATTTAATTAATTATAAATCAATTTATTGGAAACAATATTATAAAATATCACTGTTATACAAAAACTGATCTGTTGCCAGTACTTTAAAAACATTCTATTTATCTTCTAAAATTTAAAACATTTGTCATCGTTATCCATTTGATATTATAATCAATTTTTCAACAAGAACTGCAATCCTCTCAACTGTGCTTGTTATGTTTATAAAGGTTCTAAACTGTTATTCCAGAAATTATAATATCTTCAAAAGCATAATGTAATGGAAATCTCATGCGAGTACAATTGAAAGTGTTGGTAATCAATTGCAGGACGTCGGGTTGGAAGTAGAGCAGTTACCTTTCAGATATGACGCTGAAACCATGCCTGAACCATTATCAAATTACCTAGATGCTTAGTAATATTTATGTTAAGTATTGGTAATCCTCCGCAAGCATTTAGTGAAATTTTTGACACAGGTTCATCAAACCTATGGATTCCTTCCAAACAGTGCCCAGTCGCAAATGTTGCTTGCTTCGTGCATAACAAATATGACAGCACAAAATCATCCAATACATTAAAACAGTACAATTGTACTATTGTTTACTAACCTGGCTGCGTTACTGGGTTTATCTACTGACACAGTGAATAGGTATCCTAGACATTGTTAAAAGAACGTTTACTGAAGCTATGGTTGAAACAGGATTAGCATTTGCTGTCGCAAAATTTGAAGGTATTCTCAAATTGAGTTATAGTTCCTTTTTCACCGATAGTGTAGTGCCAGTGTTCTACAACATGTTTCATCAAGGATTGATTAAAGAACCGGAAACCCAGCATTTAAACGGATTTCTCCGAACAGTGCTCAGTCGCATATTTTGCATCTTTAGTGCAAACAAATATAATAATACAAAATCCCTCCGTCAAAATTTGTTGCCGCAAATTTGACGGAATCTTCAGATTGAGCTACAGTTCACTTCCCATCCATAATGTAGTGACTGTGTTCTCAAATATGTTTCATCAGGAATTGATTGAAAAACCAGTCTTTTCCTTTTATCTCAATCGCGATTTATCTCAACCACATTGTCTTCAGCGAAAACAGAATACACAGATGTATTTTAATTTATAATTTGTGAATTTTATAAAGTAATGAAATACTTTTAACTATGCAAGATTTAGTTTCATTATTGACACATAAAAATGATATTCTCGAATGAATTCAGTATTTTTTTGTTATTGATATTTTTGGAGTGTGTTTTTTGTTATTATTTACGCTGCCTACTTGTTTGTTCGAGAACGATCCATGGGTTTCCTAGACTACAGTTGCTAATGCGATATGCTTCCGTTATATAAAAAAATAAATGAAACAATACATAAACCATTATCAAATTGCCTGGATGCTAAATAAAATGTAAGTACAATTGTTGCTAATCCTTTGCAAGCATTTAATTTTTTTTTTTTGACACAGGTTCATCGTATTTATGGATTCCTTCCAAACAGTGCTTAGTCATAAATATTGCATGTTAAATGCGTAACAAATATGACAGCAGAATATCATCCACGGCAATTGACGTTGGGATGGAAGTAGAGCAGTTACCATTCTGATATGACACTGAAACAATGCCTGAACCATTATCAAATTACTCTATTTATTATAAGTAATCTTCCGCAAGCATTTAGTGTAATTTTTGACACAGGTTCATCAAACCTATGGATTCCTTCCAAACAGTGCCCAGTCGCAAATGTTGCTTGCTTCGTGTATAACAAATATGACAGCTCAAAGTCATCCACATACATTAAAAACGGTACAAAGTGAACTATTGATTACTAAGCTGGCGGTGTTACTGGCTGTTTATCTACTGACACAGCCATTGTCAAAAGAACGTCTACTAAAGTTATAGTTGAAACAGGATTAGCATTTGCTATCGCATAATTTGAAGGTATTCTCAGATTGAGTTATAGTCCCCTTTTCACCGATAGTGTAGTGCCAGTGTTCTACAACATGTTTTATCAATGATTGATTAAAGATCCGGATCCGCCAGCATTTATATAGATTTCTTCCAAACAGCGCTCAGTCGTAGATTTTGCTTGTTTAGTGCATAGAAAATATAAAAGTACAAAATCTATCCGTCAAACTTTGTTGCCGCATAATTTGACGGAAACTACAGATTGAGCTACAGTTAACTTTCCATCCATAATGAAGTGGCTGTATTCTAGAATATGTTTCATCAAGAATTGCTTGAAAACCAGTCTTTTCCTTTTATCTCAACCGCGATTTATCTCTACCGCAATGTCTTCAGCGAGAACAGAGTATACAGATGTATTTTAATTTGAAACTTGTAATTTTTGTAATTATTATATACTTTTAACTATGCATGATTTGGTTTCATTAATGACATATAAAAAATATACTCTCGAATAAATTCAGTATTTTATATTTTATTGATATTTCTTCTGTTGTCTTCTATTATTATTTACGTTGTCTACTTGTTGCTTGTTCAAGAACGTTCCATAGGCTTCCTAGACTAGAGTTGCCAGTGCGCGAGGTCTTGTAGCCTCAGTTTATAGAAATATGTACAGAACGCTACGTATCCTAAAACTTTTGAAATAATTTCTAATTTAATTTTATCAAATACTTCTAACCCTTTCAAATAGGGTTACGTAAGTCTAAATTGCTAAGTTAAAATTATTTATATAAAGTGTGTAAGTGAGCTTTAGAACTTTAGCCAGAATAAAATTAAAATCTGAATTATGTTCGATATACAAAAAAAAATGTTTTTGAAAAGCAAGCAGACGTGCTGATTAGTTATTAGATAAGGCAGGTCTAGCCATTCAAAAGATACGGGGCAAAAAGTGCCAAAAACGGTAACTAAGTTTTTAAGAGAACGGAGCGTGCGATTTTATTAATTCAAAAAACATTTTGTTTGTATTAACAAAATAAGTACCGCTTGAATTTTTACAAAAGCATGTCCATCGGTTTCGGATATCTAGTAAAAAAAATTACTAGTGGGGTGTATGGCATCGTGCCTTAAGGCAAATTGCTGAAACTTTCCGTACCGTAACGTAATCGTAAAATGATCGAGGAATAATAAATGTTTTAAAATAGATTATTATGAATATTGTAACATTGTCGGATATTTATAAGAATTATATAAACTAATTCGGAAAGTTGAAATTATTTGTTTTAAGTATATTAGAACAGAATTAAAATAAAAATCTGAATTATTTTCGATATATACAAAAAAAAATGTAAAAAAAAAAATAAAATAAAAAATTTTAAAGCAAAAGAAGTTTTTTTTTTTCAAAATCAATTATTGTGTTTAAACAAACAGAAAGTTTTTGGAATCATTCAAATCGGACGCTTAGTTCTCTCAAAAACTGCAATTTTTTGCACATTTAGCTCTGTATCTCCGAAACCGCTGGACCTGCCTTTGCCAAAAAGTAATCACCCTTTCTTCCCGTCATTACAAACTGAATGTTTTTGGGATCATTCAAATCGGATGCTCCAATCTCTCAAAACTCGATTTCTATTTTCTGCACTCTTTGCTCCGTATCTCCTAATCGGCTGGACCTGCCTTTGCCAAAAACTAATCAGCACATCTCCCTATCAATAGGAATCGAATGTTTTTTGAACTATTCAAATCGGTTGATCCGTGCGCCAGAAAACGAGGACGAAAACTTGTATACATGCATACATACACACACACACACACACACATCCTTTTTTTCTGAGGTATGCCAAAATGTTCAGAAACATTCAAAACGTCGAGAAATGTAAAAAATTTCAATTTCGATTTTCGGCCCATTACAATAACTTACCCCACGGAAAGTTAAAAAAGATACCATTTGGCGATCAAAAATGATTATTAGACATATGCACATTTAAATTATCAGATTTTATAGAGAGATTTTAACAATAAGTATAATTTTTTTTCACATTTCTATGGGTTCCGTACCAATGCTCATCCGTTAGACGGCGGCGCGGCACTTACGAGCTTTGACATTTTGTCTCTATGCAGTTCAAGCAGTACGATTGCTTTGAAAAAAAGTTCAGAATTTCCAAAATATGTCAAAATGAAGAAAACATTTTTTTTTCAAAAAAAGTAATTTTGTATCAAATTTATAGTTTCTCAAAAATCTAATTTTTTCGTAGTAAAATTTTTTCAAAAATGTTAATCGTTTTTAAAAAAATAATAATTTTTGGTACGGGAAGTTCCAGCAATTTGCCTTAAGGCACGTCACGTTGCCATACACCACTAGACTTGTATAAAAATATTAGATGGATATTTTTTTTATGAAAAATGTTAGCAATGTCACCCGCGACATCCCACGTATCGAATCGAATCGAAGAAGAGACAAAAGCAAACGAGAAATTCCAAGTGGCCACTACGACTTACTTAATTACACGGTTGTGCTCGTCGTAATAAATATTGAATTGGACATAATTTATACGGTTCTGTACTTCGAGCGTTTGTTGTAAGTTAATTCATAATTACCATTGGCAAGTTGTTCAAGTCGTGAAAAGAGCGATGGGATCATTAAAAACTTATTGAGAAAAAAGCTGCTTAAACGATTTACGGTTACAAGAGAACCAGTTAATTCCTGCAACTGATGCTTTTCGATCTATCCAATAGAAAATTTACTCGGATTAACTGCTATCAGTTAATTATATCGATTTATAACCTAATAATAATGTATATTGAATTGTATAGTATTATATACTTTTCTTGTCACTTTTAATAAAAAATGTAATAAATAATAAGTTATGAAAAATCAGTGTAGATTAGTTACATCGCGACTCGAAATATATGCTGTATTCTTTAACTTCCCGCACGTTAAGTTAAAGTAATCGGCCAAAAATCTAAAATGAAAATTTTTGCATATCTTCACGTTTCAAAAGTTTTTGAACATGTTGGCATATCTTAGAAAAAAATAATGTGTGTATGTGTGTGCGTGTGTAGTGTGTATGTATGTATGGATACAATTTTTCGTCGACGTTTTCGGGAGCACCGGTCAACCGATTTCAATTATTCAAAAACCATTTGATTGCTATTGATAAGGAGACGTGCTAATTAGTTTACTGCCGTAAGTTAGTCCAGTCGTTTTTGAGAAGTATACGAGTAACTTTTTATATTAATAGGTAATTAATGGATTTTATATTAATATATACACATATACATAACCACTTCCTACATATTTATTATCAAAAAATTCAAAATTTTCATTTTCCACAACTTTATCAAGTGGCATCGCCATACTTGTATGTATCAATGTATATAGTTTTATATGTATATAGTCATCAAATTTTTATTGAGTCAAATTGGCTCCAGACCGTAAATCTAGTGTTAAAATACAAGTATACAATCCTGAATCGATTTTAAAATTTTTAAATTCGTTTGAAGATATTGGTTGGGAATCGTGCTGATTAGTTTTTGGTAAAGATTGACCAGTCCGTTTCTGCATAGCTAATAGTTAAAAAACTGTTTCCTATGAAATCAAATCAAAATCAAATTCTTATGAACTTTTTTTGACAGTAGATATGATGGTTGTATAGAACATACTAAATTATCACAACCCTTCGATAAAAAAATTATCAAATTTTGAAGAAATGAGCAGCGTTGTTTGACGTTCATCGGTGTGATAAAATTGGACCATTCTTATATGGTTTTATTGATTATTGAGACGATTATTGAGCGAGTTTCTTTTGATGATTTACCCAGTAATACTTTCTCAATTAGCATATTGAACATTACATGGGTTTTATACAGGTTTTGGGTTATTTATATTAATGTATGTATTATATTCAGTAACTAGTTTTATGTTAAACCTTTTCTGTCGTTACTCAAGCAAATTAACGATTAAATGGTTCAGAACTCGCAGGTCGTTATTTTTGTAAAAATATAAGATAATTCTCATATACAGAGTTGAAAAACTTTAATAATATACTTTCTAGATGATACACTTTTTATGATATATGTTTATATTTAAAATAAATATTTAAACCAAAATTTCTTATTCACTTCGCGGTTTTAACAAAGCCTATCGATCTCTGGCGTTGTGACCTCGTTTCACGGACGTAACCGCTGGCAGAACAAAATGGCTTAATTTGCTACAACATAGTTTTTGAATTGCATTTTCTAACGTGATTTGAAACATTTTTGTAATATTTTATAGTGTATACAATTTCTTTGTTATATTGAATGAAAATGTCTTTATGTAAAGTCCAGAAATTCCTGCTTGATTAATTGAATTCTCTGTATATCATCTCTCATCTTAGATTATCTATTTAATAATTGGAAGGATAAATTTCTCTTTTTTTTGTTATTTTTAGTATGTTTACGACCTGTGGTTAATAACATGATTAAAAAATTACAAAAAACTAATAAGCGGGCGTCCATTAAACAGGTGAGCCTAAAAGGGAAAAAGACGGTCTGATAAAAAATCTCGAAATATCACTCGCAGAGAAGGTCTAGAAAGATATCACGTGTATCTTTTTCTACCAGAATTTGAAATAATCAAAATTTTTCAAAAAAAAATTAAAATTTTTTACGATTTTTTCTAGGTA